CATTTAGAACAAGCATTTGCTGGCCACGTTCACTTAAAACAAAATCAGTTACTAACTCCATAGGTAATATTTTTTTTATCCGAACGCTAAAAGGTTTAGATAAAAACTGGTATGAGCCAATTGAGCTATTAAAACATACATAGAACAGACTTAATTGTACGGACGTGCCGTATAAATAAGTCACTCCAATAGTCACCCCTTCTACCCAAGTAAGATAATGTTGTTTTGATTGGTTTCGAAAATTGTATTTTGACAAAGGTAATTAAGAATGTGTTACAATTGGCAAATATGAAAATAAGTACCTATCTCTAATTTAAATTGAATGTAAAACTGCTTGTAATTTTAAAACCAAATCATAATATGTAAAAGCTTTAACGGATTAATATGAATGTTTTGCATTTCGAGGTCTGGGCGGCTATCCTCGACAATCGCTAAAAAAACGAACCGTTTTCGAAAGTGAGTGGTTGAAAAGCAAGTAGTTTTTGAAATCTATATTCTTGACTGGCGTTCGATAAGCATTCGTTTTTTAAAACGTGTACGTTTTTAACAAGCAAATAATATATCTGGCATCACTGTAAACTGTCTATATCGCTGAATTCAAGTAATGTGCAGGCCATAAAAAAATAAGGATTATGTAATTTAATTACAACAAACCAATTGTAAATTTATCGAATGATGATTTTTTTCTAATCACATAATATATCAATGTTCAGGATAAACTGAATCGGTAATCATTGGCGGAAAAACAGCTATACGGGTGCTGTCAGTGTAACCTATAATTCTAGGAAAATCGTACGTCATAAAACCTAGTTTTTATGATACAAAATTAACTTAAAAACTTTGCTAATCTCATTCAGTTCTTTAATATCTTGTGGCAATTTTACAAAATTGTTAAAATTTCTGGACACAACGTGTGATATAGAAGAGCTTTGAACTACTACTTGCAAGAAACCACAAGCAAATTATTATCTATAAATAAAACATACAATAATTAAATTCTTAGACGGTAAAATATAAAAAATATTCATTCAATATCCATTGAATTAAAAAATTAGATTCTGCCTCTGCATGTCTGAATCTTTATGTTATGTTAAGAATGGGGTGTTAATACACTGCGACCTAAAAGATCTATTGTGCCCCCTTCTGTTGCCACTGCACAAAGGAAATATCTCAATGCCTATAACGACCCTTCCAATCCTATTTTCTCAAAGAAGTGTACGATTTGAAAGTGGCTTCAAGTTAGGTAAATCTCTGCTTTTAGCATTCTTATCTTCCAAGTTTTCTAATTGTACTAATTATTGTATTAATTGAAAGAAATTCTCAGCTATTAGACTTTTTTAGTACTGCAAACCATATTTATAAGAAATTAGATACTTTTGTAAGTATTAATAAAACGTAAAATTTGTTAAAATCAATCAATATTATTAATCATCCTAAAAGTGACATATAAGTGACATTGATTAAATCCTTGAAAACATGCACGTTTTATCACAAACGTGTGAAAAATTCCGCTCGCTGTAAAACACCCGTTTTAAAAACGTACACGCTTTTAAAACGAATGTCGAGAATAGCGAATAGCTCGCATGTTACTAAAGCGTATACGTTGTTCAGAAAAGCTTTGAAAAGGTACCTGCCTGCCTGGTGCTCAGTTGGCCGGTCTACATTTATTACGGTTGGCGGAATTTTGTTCGAAACGAGTTGTTCGAAAAATTTTGTTCGAAACACGTTTGTTCGAAAAACCTTAGTTCGAAAATACGTTTGTTCGAAAACACGTTTGTTCGAAAAATCTTTGTTCGAAAATTGTTTTGTTCGAAAAACTGTGGTTCGAAAATACTTTTGATCGATAACATTTTGTTCGAATTTATTTTTGACCTAATATACATTTTTAAGATTGTTTGTAAGATATCTTACATAAAAACATAAATTTCATTGGTCTGCGTTCTAGTAAAGGAGGAGAAAGAAGGTACGTATAATTTTCCTAGTCTTTATGACCGTTTGTTTATTAGTTTTTCTCATATTATATAACCAGAAATTAGTTAAGCCATATGTCGCCACTTGAAATCAAATTATAATGTGACAATGTCAATGCATTTTTCATTGTTAAAAGTTAATTATCAATAAATCACGCTTGAAATAAGTCAACGAAATGTCTTTTATGAAAAGTGAGTTTGGGAAAGATATTTCCTATTTTAAAGGGCACTTTTACGGTAAAGACCTACAAAGATTTTACTTATTGGAAGTGCGGAAGTGAGGTAAAAAAAGGATGTAAAGGAAGAATCATTACGAGAGGCTAAGACAAGACTATAAAGGGAGTACATAATCATAGTGGACGGTCAGATAAAGAAGGAAATAGAACTGCATTGAAAGATAGTCGAACCACTATAGAAACTCCACAGGGCATAATAACAGAGGCCACTGCTTCAACAAGCGCACCAGTATTAGCACGTTTACCTGAACTTCGAAGTCTTAAAAACATAATAAGAAGCTTAAGGAAAAAAGAAAACAACTATCTAGCTCTTCCAAAAATTTAATTTCTATTAAAATTGTGAAAGAGGGAAGTGGGAAGTTCTTGGCTAAAAGAGACAGAAATTACAATACACTCAATGAGCGATTAAAAAGGTCAGTGGAGGGGTTTGATGACAGTATAGGAGAACGAGGAATTGCAACAATACCTAAGGAGTGTGGCCTACCTTTTTAAAGTAATAGTTAAAACTACAATATAAAAAATGATATGAATTCACGCATTTATTGCCTTTGAAATAAAAATAATATGAAATTTAAATTTAATTGGTCGACAATAAAAATACGACAATAAAAATACTAGTTCTTTTAATTTTTTTTATTTTGTGTATTTTTTTGCCAATTTCCTCAGGTTAGGTAAGTCAGTTTAGTTTTTTTTTGTTTTTATTTTTCCTATTTTATGAATAATTTTTTTTATTAAGCAACCTGCGATGACTAGACCACACAGGTTAATAGTTATTATTTTTTTATTTTATTTAGAATACTAAGAAAATATTTCTATTTTTGTTTAATATATTTTACATCAAGATTCAACCAAGAAATCGAACAAGTATTGTTTAAAATAATATTTTTCGGTTAAAAGTATCTTCGAACATAACGTTTTCGATTAAAAGTATCTTCGAACATAATGATTTCGACTAAAAGTGTTTTCGAACATAACATTTTCGACTAAAAGTATTTTCGAACATAACCTCTCATTCGATCAAACGTATTTTTGAACTAAGGGTTTTCGAACAAACGTGCTTCGAACAAAAGTTTTCGAACAAAATTTTTCGAACAAAATTCCGCCAACCATTTATTACATCTACGAGTAGAGCTTGGTACTAAATTGGCTCATACCCCTATTTTGTTCTGTCTTTAATTGTCACCGAGTATATATTACGATCATGGAAGTCAAATATATTTTTAGCGAATAGGGGAAGAATTTGTTAGTTATAGGCAATTTTAAATTTTGTGAGGCAAATACTCTTGCCAATGGTGAAGTGCGATGGCGATGTGTTAAAAAAAAGCAAGTGTTCAGCCAAGGTTTATATCATTCGTGACCAAATAATAGACGAGAAAAGTGATGTCAATCACAACCATGAGGAAGACGACACTCTTAAACGACAGGCCCTTAGCAATGGCATTAAAAGGAAAGCATTGCAGGACCTGTCAGAAAAACCCTTAAAATTCATCCATCAAGAATTAAGGAATAACGACATTCATAGAGTGCGAAAAAACATTTATGCCACAAGACGTTCTGTTATGCCCACGCTCCCCAAAAATCAAGAGAATGTTTTTACTTGTTTTGGTAAGATGAATCCTATTACAAATAAAAACGAAAAGTTTCTTTATATTTGCGATAGGCCTTCACAGATAATTGTGTTTCGTTGCAGAAGCAACTTTAATTTTTTATGTTCAGTTGATACTGTTTATATGGACGGTACATTTCAATATTCGACCAAATGTTTTGTGCAGTTTTTAACAATTCACGGTTACAAAAATGAACACTATGTACCGTTAGTTTTTTGCTTATCGCCCTAAAAATCACAATCTGTGTATCTCAAATTATTGAGTTATTGGATGCAAAATGTCAAACATTAAGTCTTTACTTTAAACCTTCTTTTGGTAATTGATTTTGAGTTAGCGATTCATAATGCAGTTAAAGTCCATACTTTAGCCTCAGATTCGATGACATGTATTACACATTCTTGTGAGTCATTTCATTCATTATTTAATAGTCATCTTTATTCTTGCCATCCAAATATTTTTCATTTTGTGGAAATTTTTTTCAATCAGAAACATATGTAAAAATTGTAAGCGCTAATAAATATGTGAAAAACTACGGCCTTACATCGGAATAACTCCGACAATTGAAATGTAATGAGTTAAGTAGATTCAATTTTGTTCAATGCATTGCTTTTAAATATGTACCAAATAGTATAACTTGTACTTTATTATGTATTTGAACCTATATGAAATAAACATTGTTTACAAATAAGAATTTTCATTTTCTGGCCTAACTCAACATAGCCTTTTAATGAGTTTAAAGGATTAAAATAGCCAAGCGGTTACCGGGGATTATAGCAGGTAGTTGGCCCAACTCGGTTGCGCCCAGTGGAACATGCTTGGATAAAATATAACCTGTTTTCAAGTTTAAAATTCAAAAACTGTTATAGCTATAATTTTTTTTATTTTTTAATTTTACTAAATTCAGCAGATATTTATGATGTTATAAATTACACCTATCATAAAAAAAAACAGATAAATAAACGTTGTCAGTGGCGTACAGAAATTTAACGCCACTGTTCAAAAACTTATTTGGACTATGAATTAAATGTGTTTAATAAATAAATAAATTGATTGGTCTTTAAATATACTCACACATATTTTAATTCATTTTTTAGTTCTGTAATTTTTGATTTTTTTTATAAATAACAGGGTGGACTGTTTTGAGTGGCCGACTCTGTATAAAATTTTAAGATAAGAAAAGTGCTTACTTTGAATAATACGTAGAACGTACTCCTGACAGCTCTTCTACATAACCTCTGATAAATGAGACAGACATTGATAGCAGACTGGTAAAAATCAAAATACCAATACCTGTTTTAGTTCTTTCTTTGAGTAACCAGAGTATCAAAGGTGAGAAGAAATACAACTGCATATCTACGTTTAGGTACCAAGAGTGACCAACACACTGCAAAAAAAACAATGGTTAAATGAACAGTTTAAAAAAATATAATTCATTTATATTGAATTACCAAAGCTAAAGATTACTGGAATATGTTATACAAGGAGATTCATTTGCAAAAGAACATACTTTAACTATGATCACCTGGGTGGTTCTACATTGTCCTTGTTTAAAGGGTATTTGGCCGTTTATATAAGATATAATAAGGTGTTTAATAAATTTTGTTTATTTTTCTCCTTATTCATAATTTGAAAAGAACCCTGTATATTTTTTAGCGTTTGGTACACTTAGCATCAATATCTTGTGGAATATACAAATATATAATAAGTAAAAAATTCAGGTCCGGCGTAGCGAAAAATTCACAAATTCCTCCATCATGTATATCTGATTTTTAAAAATTTGTTTCCATATTTAAAAAGGGCTCAAAATATTAAATTCAACAATAATATTTTTACTTGAGGATTTGACGATTTGACTACTCAGATACAAATTTTAAATTCACATTCTTTTTGCTGCGCGTTTTCTACAAAGTGAAATATGACCGGGTTTCTTTTAATTCTATTACGTTAACTTAAGATTATTTAACCTAACTTAATTGATTCCAGTTTGCATTTTACACAACTAATGATTAATTAAAAAAAATTACTTTTTTTTAATATTGTGGTACTCCCAGGACACATAATCCACAAACAAGTATTTAGGACTATTAAATAAAAATAAACATAAATCTGAAATACACAAAAAATTCCCCGACAATATAGGCAATACTACGACTACAAATCGACAAATTGGGCACTATACAGAGACGAACTTGATAAATTAATAAAAATAAATAATAATATTCCTACAAAGGAAGCAATAGAATTAGAAACAAACAACATCATAAACGCAATACAAAAAGCTAGAGACGCGACAACCACACTTAAAACACATAAACAACACAACGACATATTGCCTATAGAAATTACGGACATGATAAAAAATAAAAATAATATTAGAAAAAGATGGCAACAATTTAGACAAAGCGAAGATAGGGTTAGAATGTACAATCTTGCTAAGACCATCAACAAAATGATATCAGAACACCGAAATGATAAATGGAAAACCACCCTATCCGAGCTAAAACCACACGACAATTCATTGTGGAAAGTGGTGAAAAGGTTCAAAAAACCGAACTCGCTGCTCCCCACAATGAAACGAGGACCAGACTTACTCAACACAGACAAAGACAAAGGACAAGCCTTCGGCGAACTCTTTCAATCGAACTTTGTCAATAATCAGGTTAACAACCCCGAACAACAGCGCATTGAAACTGCAGTAAATGCGCTGGAGCAGTCGGAACCACAAGTAGTGCCACATTCCTTCTATACCTCCCCTAAAAAGGTGTGTGAAGTAATTAAGAGTCTTAAAAATAGAAAAGCTCCGGGACCGGACGACATCAGTAACATTTTAATTAAAAATTTGTGTAGAAAGGCTGTCGTGCAGCTCCACCACGTAATTAATGCCATTTTCAAGCTACAATACTATCCCAGTGGCTTGAAAATGGCAAATATTATTCCAATTTTAAAACCAGGCAAACCGGCCAATAAAATCGATAGTTACCGCCCCATTTCCTTACTGAACACAATAGCTAAAATCACCGACACCGTAATTTTGAATAGACTTAAGAAAATTGAACAACGACAACAAATTATCCCACGGGAACAATACGGGTTCAGAGAGGGTCATAGTACCGTAGCCCAAGCACTTCGTATCGCGCATCACGCTAAAGAAGGGTTTAACAACGACCTTCAAACAGTTTTAGCCACTTTAGATTGTGAAAAGGCCTTTGACTCCGTATGGACCCGTGGGTTAATACACAAAATGCTTGCGAATGACTTTCCCGTACACATTGTGAAAATAATCCAGTCATACTTGACGGACAGACAATTTTGTATAAAGATAAACTCCACAATAACAGGACCTTTCCTAGCGATGGCGGGAGTACCCCAGGGCTCAGTACTTTCGCCGCATTTGTACACGATTATGACCTGTGATTTACCCATGGGTGATAATGGTGTACAAACGGCATTGTACGCCGACGACATCTGTGTGTTTGCAAGTCATAAATCCGCGCAAGAAGCCACCAGGAAACTGGACAACCATATAAACGGACCACTATTCACCTATCTAGCCGATAACAAAATAAAATTAAACACCAACAAAACAGAAACGGTGCTTATATCGAAGAGGCGGATCGAAGGGATAGACGCCCCTTCGAGTCCAAAATCTACCAATAGTAGCAAAGCCGGCAATTAAATACCTTGGAATCGTGCTAGATAGGGGATTAACATTCCGAACACATATTTTGGATAGGGTGACTAAAAACTACGGAATTCTTAGGACCCTCTACCCCCTAATGAATAAACGGAGTAGAGTCACCCTATCAAACAAAATCCTTTTATATAAAACGGTTTTTAGACCGATTCTAACATATGGTTGCCCGGTTTTCTGCTCAATGGCCCAATTGCATTATAATAAACTACAAAATGCCCAAAACAGATGTCTCAGGCTAGTTCTGGGGTGTGATCGTTACACTAGAATACATGCACGCTACGACAAATATGCCACTCATTAAAGACTTCATCATCAAAACAGCTGAAAACTTCTACGCGCGATGCCTCCCCGATGAGTTGAGGGATAGCATCATCAACATACATCGGGAAGACGGCGTGCGTAGAAAGCACGGCTGTCTTCATCAATGTTTGAGCATATACCGACGACAATAACAGGACCCTCCACTGTGCATAACGTACTAAACAACAATTCACCCGATGTAGATACTTACGAGATCTAGTCGGACGGACGACTGAACGGTGAAACTGACTGACAGCGCCACGGCCGAAGGCGATTCCCGAGGGCGATTCCCAGTAAACCTATTGCTGCGGATAGGTACAGTCGACGCAGAGTCTACGCTAGTTTCTTGCTATTGTTATCAGTGACAGCTGTCAAGCTTTTAATTTTGAATTATTCTAAGTAACGTCTCGCCAGGTTAACAGTCAAAGTTTTGGTAGTGCACCGTACATGTCGGAGCCCACTGGGCCTCCCATAGTATTCTCAGCACCCACAAAAGGATTTAGTACAGAATATACTAAAAGGCTTAAGAACAGATGCCGGTTTAGGCAGCCTCAATACGAAAAAATACTGAATTTGACATCTCCAAAGACGATTAAAGCCAAAATCAAGAGAACAGGGCAAAAGTACGTAAGTACCAACACTCTAGACTTCCATGATACTGATGAAGAGACCTCAGGAATAGAGGACCCCCACGTCGAAATTTCTGTGACTCGACCTTCATATGACCCTCAAACAGTTGGAGAGCCATCAAATATAGAAAATACCACGTACGAACAACACAAGAAAGCCCTCAGTGGCTGACTCGGGTGACTCCGGGGAATTTCACGACAGTGTCGATAGTATAAATGATCCCAAAATCGATGATACCACGCAAAAACTAATCAATGTATTGGAAAATTCAGGTGAAACCATAAGTACATCGGACGATTCGACCCTAGGCAACCAAATGGATACCTCAACAGGTAGAGAACCAGGTGAAAAAACACCGGATAAATTTGAAACCCATCATGTAACAGATCCCAACACACTGCTTGGCAAAACCATCACCCTTCCTCTCCCAAAGAATACAATGGCAAATCTCTTAAACTTTAAAACCAACCAACTTGAGCAGCTGCCGAAAGTCTCAGCTATAGAATTAGCCAAAGGAAGTGCGGAAAACGCCCTAAAGAGTGGTGGATCGAGTAACTACTCTGAAGGGAAGGTTACCGCACCCCTTGTTCAGCAAAGCACGATGCAGACCGGTACCATAAGACGCACTGCAGTCAATAAGGATCCTAGGCTTGCAACTAGAATGAATAGCGACCCAAGAATACAAATTCATGTGCAAAATCAAGACATTCCCAATGCAGTGCAAAGTAACATTTTACAATTTGATCCCAACCTTGCTACTTCAGAAGAAGAACCAACTTCCAACAGGTACAACTTCGACAACCTACCACACTCTCCAAATAGCTTGTTCGAACGCAGAAATGCTAAGGAAAGAACGTTATATGATAACGAAACAAAGATGGATGAAGACGAAAATAATGCCTCAAATAACACCCCTTTCTTAACTCCTAAGAAATTTAGCAGGAACTTCCAAAACTTGATTAAGGAAAAATCAAAAAAAACCCTCACCACAACGAGAAACAAATTTCAACCACTTACCGACGAGTCTGAGTCAGATACAGATGACGAAATCGGCAAAATAGTGAAAAAGAGGAAGAAAGGGCTTAAATTCAAACCCATAGAGCCGGAAACCAACGCAGAGAGAAACACCACCAGACAGACTACTATGAGTGCAAATACTTCAAAATTTGCCAAAACAGAAGCCAGATCGAACAAAAATAAAAATACTATGCCGCCAATAGTAATCGACGGGAGAACAGCTAACCAGCGAGACTTAATCAAAGACCTGAAAGACATAGTTAAAGGTGAATTTAGTGTTAAACACACGAATTACACCACAATAATATTCACAGAGTGTAAAGAAGATCATGAATGTGTGCTCTCAAACATAAAAGCTGAGAACATGCCATACCACACATATACTGCCCGAGACGACAAAACACACGCCTTCGTCCTCAGAGGTCTTGCACAAGGGACGAAAATCACAGATATCGAGGCAAATCTCGAGGAAGAACACGAGATTACCACAAAAGCCATCTATCAGATGAAAACAAAAGAACGCCCCCTATTTTTGGTCATTACGGATCCGGTAATAACTCTTGATTATCTGAATAAAAACACACGAAGAGTACTATATACCAGGGTAACGTGGGAGCTCAGGAAGTCGACCAAAATGATTATACAATGCCATAATTGCCAACAGTGGGGGCATGCCACGGCAAACTGTGGTAGACAGCCACGATGCTTAAAATGCGCTGGTGACCATCATACCAGTACCTGCA